CTTTACTTTAAAATGAATTCAAAAGTTTATTGCTGTTCATATTTCACTTAGAAATTAATTGCAAATTCACCATGTCTATTCTCACGAGTATATTAAGTTTGTTTGGTTTCGATGTTCGGACTACAGTCATAACCTTAATAATTGCATTTATTGTGTATAAGTTGGCCAAATATTATGAGCGAGTTTTTGCTTTACCTCCCGGACCCATACCTGTGCCATTTTTAGGCAGTGTATTTCGTAAGTTACTAATATATATAAATTTAAATAATATTTTTACAATGTTAATAATTTATATAATTATTTATAGACTTAAAGGGGACAAAAGGGCACTGGACTCAAGAGTTTAAAAAGTATAGCAAAAAATACGGCAAAATGTGGACTTTTAGTATAGGCAATGATCCACTGGTTATAGTAAATGATGCGGAATTGGGTAAAGAATTGTACCGCAAAAATGAGTTGACCGGTCGGCTGTCTAACTACTTCTGTAAGTAACTTATTTGTTGCACTAATATAAAAATAAGTTAAATATATTTTTAATAAATTCTTATATGCTTCAAATTATTTATAATCATAACATTGAATAGATTACATAAAGATTAATGTAAATGATTGATACTATATTTAATGTGATATTATAGTTGAAGTAGTAAACAACGAAAAGCGTACGGATATAGTGGGCGCCGATTACGGCCACACGTGGGAAGCACTGAGACGTGTCGGACATTCAGCCATTCAGTGAGTCTTTTATTGATTAAAAAAATATAAATGATAACAAAATACTAATTAATAATATTTGTATAGAAAATATTCGGGAAGTGAGAAACTGGTGCTATTGGCGAGTGATTGTGTCGACCGTACTATGAAAATGGTTGTCGAGAAAGAGGGACTCAATAAACCATTCAATCCATTGCCTTATATTTACCAACTATTCTTCAATATATTATCTACCAGTGCTTTCGGGAGAAGGTATGCATACTATTTAAACATAACATTATAAATCATTTTTAATAATTATAATTTTCTATATTAATAGCTATGATATGAATGATAAAGAATACAAACAACTGAAATATGTTATGAAAGATATGCTACGAGAAAATGGGATCCAATTTATAATCTTACAATTCGTGCCAATCATGAGATATGTGTTCAGAGATGCGGCTAATAAACAGCACAAAGTTGTCAATGAGATGATAGATATGTTGAGCAATAAGTTTACCAAACATTATGTCGATTACGATGAGTCCGTTTGCCGTGACTTTTGTGATGCACTCATAACCGCTAAGAATGAGGCCCTCAGAGAGGGTAAAGAGTCGGCCCCTTATCTCACCGATGAAAACCTGACTTTAGTTGTATTTGATCTGTTCTTCGCGGGCACCGACACCTCGCAAATGACTTTCCAATGGCTCTTATTATTCCTCTCGTATTACCCATCAGTGCAGCGAAAGTTGAGACAAGAGATTGAGACACAAATCGGAGACCGAATGCCAACACATGAGGACAGGAATCGATGCCATTATGTCATGGCTTTCATCTCTGAGACAATGAGACTGCGAAATG